AAGCTTCTGAGCTCAGCCAATGTCAGGCAGATGCTGCCACCTTCTGGAGCTTGTAATTTTCATTTACTTGTAATTTCATTTGAATGGAATTACTGTGAATATCTTTTTCTGCTTCTGCTCTGCTCCCTTTTTCGACTACAGGCCTTATACACTACAAACAGTTGCAATTCATTACGAAAATCTGTTTCACAGCCTCAATTTTCCTCCATGTAGTCACAAATCTAGATTATATTCTGGAGTGGAATCCTAATGAATCCATATTTTATGGTAGCTAGGTTAGTAATCACAATCTTAAGGTTATTTGATTTCAATCAATACTTTTATCCATCTCAGTGTGTAGGAAAGTATATGCCACCTATAATGGTCTTATTTGTTTGATCTAATTTGATTGATGAGCTTACCTATCTTTCATCCCCCAAAGTCTATTCTTAATCACCAAAAGGTATCTTTTCCAAGTGATGCAAGCTGCTTTGCAAAACTTGGAAAAGATATCTTTTGGTGATTAAGAATAGACTTTGGGGAATGATCCAGCGTGCATCTCAAAAAGGTTATAATATAGATGTAGGGGAGAAAACATGTGGAATTTATATTCAGGAAATAATGTTTGGGAAAATGTACACATTAGGCAAATACAACCATTGTATTAGAGAAAAGCAAAATAAAAAAATGTGGCAATGCAAAGAAGTTGGCATTTTTGTTTCATTAGCAAAATGGATGCAGAATTGCTACAGAATGAATTTAAGGCTACCGGAATGAAGAATTAATGAATGTCTCCATTGAAATAATGTTCTGTTTCCACTGGTATCTTCAAGTTAAGTACTATCCTATAAAAACACTATAAACATAGAAATATAGGATTACTCTGCATATCATTCAGTACAAATGTTTATAACAGTTATAGGAAAGCAATGTTTTATACCATTCCTGTTTCATTAAACTGTGTCTTGATAAAGCATGTCAGGGATGGGTTCCCCTTTCCAATCTTTCCTGGATACTATGGCATAAACCTCTTAAGGTACACAATTATAAAAAAATATGCATTCTTGGGAAAATATAAAATTTTACCACTGGGTGGCAATGTACATCAGCAAAAATAAAAATCCAGGCATTTATAAAAAGTCCCAAAGTCAACCTTTTGCATAAGAGTCTGTGATTCCAAAGTAACAGGTCCAGCCATTTTATCCATTGATTTATTTAAGATGTTTATAACCTCTCCATACTCTTTATGAATCTCACGGTAGGTTTCAATACATAAAATAAGCCAAGGTCAACAGGAAACCAAGGACAATAATAATAATTTAAACAAGGAGCAGTTAAAAGACAAAAGAACAGAGTTAGGCTGTAGGTCAGAGGTGGTATTCAGCAAGTCCTGACCAGTTCTGGAGAACCGGTAGCAGAAATTTTGAGTAGTTTGGAGAACCGGCAAATACCACCTCTGGTTGGCCCTGCCCCATCTATTCTCTGCCTCCGGAGTCCCAGCTGATAGGCGGGGTCTTTTTTGGTTGCCCTGCACAAGAGATCAGAGCTGGAAAGCAGATTAGTGGGGTGGGGAAGGAAACTAACTTTTTGACCAGTCCTTGAATTTATGACCATCTGTAAAAGGAAAGCCAAGTAAGATCATATTAGTTTCACGAAGCAACTTTTTCACTTAGATAAGTAGGGCAGTAGCTGTTTGATTAGAGAAGGGAGCAATAGTTATTTGATAGCCACATTTTGGCTAAGAATGACTCAAATCAGCTTAAATCCAGAACTTTGTTGGGCCCAAAATGAAACTTGAGTTGTTTGTAAGTCTGTTAACTAGGATCATAATTTTGATTTAAGAATCTAATTTTGAACGTAAAAGGGATCAGTTTAAATTCAGGGGCATGTATAAGTGCACAATCGTGCCTACCATCCCTGTCCTTTTATCCCCATTTATTCGTACCTATTTCCTGTACTCTTACTCAAGTTTATACTTATACCTATTATCTCGTAATCCATTGACAAATCAAATCAAATAAATAAATATACTAGGATCTAATCATAATTCTCCCTCAGTAATTTCTCATTTTGACATACTTCATGAAGTAGTTGTATATATTATATGCTGTTGGGTTAAAAAAATTAGAAAAAAATGAGATTATGACTGCGCTCTGAACAATTCTCCAACAATTGAGACAATACAGAAAGATTTGCTTCTTAAGAACCGTCCTATGTTTGATGTGGAAGAAAACTTTAAAAAAAGTTATTCAACCTTATGAATACAGCAAAAATAGCTACCAAAGCAAGAGCCTTATAGAAAACACCAGTCACTGCCATGCAATTTTGAATATTGATTGTATTCAGTTGTGTGGGGTGAAACTTTTCTCTCCGTCACCAGGTTCTGGGAACAGAACTAATTGCAGTGAACTATAGATAACCTCCCTAAAGAAGTCTACTCAGAACAACATGAAATTGTAGGAGACTGATGAAGATACCTGATTATCTGTGGTCAAAAAGAATATTTTTCTGCTGCTGTTTTTTTTTTTTACTGCTTTTCTGTGGCTTTACCTTGTATTTTAAAGGTTAGCTGAATATGTAGCAAACAATCTATGAAAGTAGAAAAGTACAGGGAGTCCTAGACTTACAACAGTTCTTTTACGGACCATTCAAAGTTACAATAGCACTGAAAAAAATGAGTTAGGACAGTTTTTCACAGTTATGACCAATGCAGCATTCCCATGGAATTGTGATCAAAATTCAGACGCTTGACAACTGGCTCATATTTATGAGTTGCAGTGTCCCAGAGGGTCATGTGATCATCTTTTGCGACCTCTGGCAAGCAAAGTCAATGGGGAAGCCCCTGATCTAGTTGAAATGGATTGCCCTAGAGCAGGGGTCCTCACCTCCCAGGCTGTGGCCCATTACTGGGCTGTGATCCGTTCAGATATGAGCTACAGAAGCAGTCAGCGAGTGTGCATGTGCATGTAGCTCCAGTTATGCATGGTGCAGATGAGTAAGCGCATGCGTGTGGAGCTCCATTTGTGTGAACGGCAGGCACGTATTCCTGCTGCTTGTGCAAATGGAGTTGCATGAGTGTGCGTGCACACTCTCCCACTGCTTGCACAGATCCATCCCTCCACTAGTCTGCACAGCTAGAAAGATTGGAGACTGCTGCCTTAGAGTATTGAATGTCTTCCTTACATGACATTAATTCAGAGCAGCATGGAATTGATAAGGTGCTATCAAGTCATTGTCAACTCTTTGAGAACCACAGATTTTCTGCATGCAGATCTGTCCCAAACCTGGTCTTTCAGGACTTCCAATGTACTCGTCATCACTATCACTAAATTGATCCACTGTCAACTCATAAAGCATGCCTGTTTCCAAGTTGCCATGTGTGTGTGTGGGGGGGAAACCAGAAGTACATTCCATGCTCATCTTACAAAGATTGTAGCTAGGATACCGGATATTCTGCCCCCGAAAATCCTCTTCATTGGAGTGTGTGATTGATGACACCCAGCCCATGAACATGCTTTATTGGAGAATCTGATGTATGACACACCCGGGGGGAGGGGGGAAACAGGGTCACAAGTGACCGTGAATTACGTGTGTCAGAGTTGATTTCAACTGGGATAATGCCGACATGTTGCTCCAAATAAATATTTTGGATTCTTTTGAAACTTGGCTCGAGGCTCATGATTTAATTAGGGCAATCACCAGAACCTTGACATCCACCTTATTGCTGGTCCTCCTCTTCTATTCTTCCTTCAGATTTCCTGCATTAGAGTCTTCTCTACTGAGCTATGTCTTCACACAATTCACCCCAAAATAGGATGTAATAGAAGAGGCATGGAAGGTCTACATCAAATATAGATTGCTGTTGATAAAAGGCCATGGAATCTCAATGAGGTGCATGTACATTTTTAAAATATTTTTTTTTGAGCGATGCATTTATTTGTCTCACCAGATACTGGTTTAGAAATTGTGGGAAGCAGAATATTAAGACTATGTGTAGTGTTGATACTGCAGTTTCCAGTATGCCAAAGTAATGGTAGGGATAGGAATTCTGGAAGTAATTTTTCCTATATGTCTGGGAAAAGCCAAGCTGGAAACAAACATGGAACAGGGATTGAAATGGCTCTGGTCAAGGGGCTCTTTAGCTATAACACACAAAATAACATTTGCAGATTCTTTTTCCTTCAATTTAAATTTTATTAAAAGAGTTCTAAGGTACTGCATCCAGTACATGATATTTATTACCAAAATTATTAACAAATATACAAAACTTATATATGGAATATTTATTACATCCTTTTATTCCTCTATAATACTGTATTTGTTCAAGTAGGTCACCTACAGTGTAAACTTCCCTCAGTTTGATCTTGACTAGCTTGGGAAAGGCCCTCTAACATCATGTAGATATGAAATTAAAACTTTATTTGGCTTTTACTGGTAACATCTGATTCTTGTATTTGGCACGTGGAAGAAGTATCTACAGTGCAGAAAGGAGGCATTCTTTTTATGATTTTGAATCGTAGTTTTTAAAAGCTGAGGAGACTCTGCATATATTAATTTGATATTAGTAATAATGGGTCAGTCATTCTCCCTTCCGCTTCAGTCAAGTCTTTTCCTTTTCAGCCTCTTCATTAGGATTTGCTGGTAAAAAAATATTCTGTTTTACTGATGTCTTCTATGTTCTCTGACAATGTTTTCTTTATAAACAAAGAGGAGGAAATCATCTACTAGAGACGGCTTTCTACCCACAATTCCATGTGAATTGAAACGTATAGATTTCTACACACAGATGTAAAAAAGTTAATCAGTGGTCCATGGATATGAGTGCGTGCTTGTGTTTTAAATCAGCCAGATAATAATGTCATTCTCATCCAGAACCGAATGTTCAGGTGTAGTCTTTGAAAGAAAAATTAAAAAAAAAAAATCCCATGAAATTCTTCCCACCTGTCTTTCTCTCCTGTTTATCATCGTTTACAAATGTAGCTTAAAGTAATTTCATAAAGCTGATCCAGAGAGTGCTAAGATTTATTCAAACTCTTCTGCATTCTCCCTCAAGCATCATATTGCTAATTGTAGGAGGCCATCATCCCACCAAAGTCACATATCAGACAAGTCCAAGTTTAGATGGCAGCATTTGAGTATCAAGTACTTGGCCCTTTTTGTTACCAAAGAGTCCCACTCCCCTCTGTGGCACCATACATTTCCGCCAGCTTCCTAAAGCGTGGTCCCCAGTCTGTCAGATAGTCATAACTCTGTTCTGAGTCCGTAGTTACAGACTGTAAGGAACTGAGCGATTCAGCCACTGAGCCATTGCCCTCAAACATATAGGTCTGGAGGGAATCAAAGGGAGGTGCCCAGAGGTCCATGTCTGCTTCATAGAGTTTGGCCAACACATAGCTGTGAACACTGCTGTCCACCGTGCAGGCCTGAGGAACGTATCTCGAGAGGCTTTCAATTTCTGGCATCATGTCTTGTCGGTTCTTCATGAACGCTTGGGCCTCTCTGGGGTTCCACAGGGCAGAAATGTCAAAAGCTTCCGTATCTTCTTCCCCACCACCTTCGTCGTCATATCGGACAATGTTCTCATGGATATTCTCTTCCTCATCAAGCATGTAAGGTTGCTTCCGGTGTCTTTTCATGGATAAGATCAGTAGCACCAGAACTAAAGGTAATGAACGAAATAGAAATACTTAGCAATTTTCCTTCACTCAAGACAAATCAACAAGAAATATTTTATATGTAATGGTAATCAAAAAGGTCTATTTTTGCCCCCTCAAAATTGCTACTGCTATAGTGGTAATTCTCGACTTACAACAGTTCATTTAGTGACCGTTCAAAGTTACAACACTCCTGAAAGACGTGACTTAGGACCATTTTTCACACTTATGACCACTGCAGCATCCCCATAATCACATGATCAAAATTCAGGTACTTGGCAACTGACTCATATTTATGACGGTTGCAGTGTCCCAGGGTCATGCAATCACGTTTTGCGATCTTCTGACAAGCAAAGTCAACAAGGAAAGCCAGATTCACTTAACAACTGTCTTACTAAGTTAACAACTGCAGTGATTCACTTAACAACTGTGGCAAGAATAGTCATAAAATGGGGCAAAACTCACTTAACAAAGGCTTCACTTAGCAACAGTGGGCTGGATTGTGGTCATAAATGATTCGTATTACAGCCCAACAAATCTTGCCACTTCCCTTATTTCGCCTGAAGAATATTAGATCTGTTCGTGAGATGGCATGTATACTTACCGAGCAAAACAAAAATGCAAGCTAGAATGGCAATCAGAGCACCTCTGCTCAGGCTGACAGGGAGTATGTAGGCCTCTGCATTACAGGACATCACAAGGCCCTTTTCATCACAACTACAAACATGAATGGTTACTGTTCCAGTACTGCTTAACACAGGACGTCCATTATCTGCTATTAAGATGGGAAGGTAAAAGGTATTCTGCTCATGTTGCCGAAAGCCTGATCTCTTGGTTAAAATCCAAGCTGTGTTGTCTAAAGAGAAAGAAAAGAA